ATTCAACCACAATATTTCAACCTGGAATAATACTAAGCTAAGCCTTAACTATGTAATATTATTGATTAGATATGGCTAACCAGATTTTAAAGTTGCTCTTTACATATCCGGGTTACCAAATCTATTTCCTTAATGTAAATCTATCATTAGGTTTTCCTGAAAAGATTTGTTCAGATGGGGTTTGCCTTTACAGGCCAGAGTGTGGGTTTTCCAAGGTCTCTGGCACACTAGGGATGTAAACACTGACCCCCAGAACCCGAGATCAAAACCCAATTTACTTCACTATGCCAAGTCTCTTTAATGAACTTTAACACATCATTAAAGCATATTAGTATCTTTTTTTATTTTTGTGCACCTTTACTGAAGAAGCAATCTCTATAACAGGAAACCTACCTAGAGAGTAAATATACAGTTTTTCAAATGGGGACCCGCTTTGACATTGATATATCTCTGCAACCAGAAACCACTCATGAAATAAACTCTAAAGCCCTTTCCATGTAGCTGTATAAAATCCATACTGAACTAGATTATATGGTAGTGTGGACTCAGATAACCTAGTTCAAAGCAGGTATTGTGGATTATCTGCCTTGATATTCTGGATTATATGGCTGTGTGGAAGGGCCCTTAGACATGCAAGAAGCGGGCCATAGATTACCTCTAGATGTCTCTTCCAGCACAAAATAGCTCCCTGGCCTCAGTTATGCGTAAGATATATTTATTTATTTACTATATTTATATACCGCTTTTCTCAGCCCTTGGGCGACTTATAGCGGTTTACAGTAGCAAAATTCAGTGCTCAAAACATCATAAAAGAGTTAAAAACAGTTAAAACAATAGCATAACAATATTATAAAATCAATAAAACATGTCATTAGCATCTCTTAAGTTAAAATCAAGACCCAATCTCATCATCCAATTGTTCCATATTCCTATGTTCGTTACACTGCCTTTCCAAACACCTGCTCAAGCAACCAGGTCTTTACTTTCCTCCAAAATACTAACAGGGAAGGGGCTGATCTAATGTCTGTAGGAAGGGCGTTCCATAACTGAGGGGCCACCACTGAGAACGCCCTGTCTCTTGACCCCGCCAAATGCATTTGTGTTATTGAGAGGAGGGCCTCCCCAATGATCTTAACATCCTAGCTAGTTCACAGGGGGAGATGCGTTCAGACAGGTAAGTTGGGCCATAACCATTTAGGGCTTTATATAGGCTAACGCCAGCACTTTGAATTGTGCCCAGTAGCAAACTGGCTGCCAGTGGAGCTGGCGCAACAGAGTTGTATGCTTCCTAAGTGCGGTTCCTGTTAGTAATCTTGCTGCTGTCTGTTGGGACAATTTGAAGCTTCAAGACAATCTTCAAAGGCAACTTCACGTAGAGAGCTTTGCGGTAATCTATACGGGATGTAACCAGAGTGTGGACTACCGTGGCCAAGTCAGACTTCCCAAGGTATGGGCGCAGCTGGCACACAAGTTTTAACTGTGCGAATGCTCCCCTGGTAACCGCCAAAACCTGATGGTGAATCCCGCAATGTAAGGCCTGATGCAGTGGTTCTCAAACTGTGGGTCCCCAAATGTTTTGGCCTACAACTCCCCAAAATCCCAGCCAGTTTACCAGCGGTTACTATTTCTGGGAGTTGAAGGACAAAACATCTGGGGACCCACAGGTTGAGAATCACTGGCCTAATGAGATATTCTCGGTTGACAGAGTTGTTTCTCAGGGCCCTTCCACAGTCATATAACCCAGAATATCAAATCCACAATACCTGCTTTGAACTGGGTCATACGAGTCCATACTGCCATATTCCAGTTCAAAACAGATGTGAGATTTTATTCAACTGTGTGGAAGGGGCCAATGTTTTGAAGCATAGCTAGGAGATGAATGTGACTCCTCAGCTCTGGATAGAACAAACAACAAAACAAGGCCACAAATCTACCTTCAGTGAAATGCCTTAGGCCTCTTCTTTGAGGGCCCTTCCACACTGCCATGCAACCCAGAATATAAGGCAGAAAATCCCCACAATGCCTGCTTTGAACTGGTTACCCGATTCCATACTGCCATATATTCCTGTTCAAAACAGATGTGAGATTTTATTCATCTGTGTGGAAGGGGCCCATGTTTTGAAGCATAGCGAGGAGATGAATGTGACTCCTCAGCCCTTGCTAAAACAAACAAAACAAGGCCACAAATCTACCTTCAGTGGAATACTGTAGGCCTCTTGTCTGAGGGTCCTTCGACACAGCCATTTCAACCAGAAGGTCAAGGCAGATAATCCACAGAATCTGTTTTGAACTGGGTTACATGGGGGCCCTTTCACACAGCCATGCAACACAGAATATAAGGCAGAAAATCCCCACAATATCTGCTTTGAACTGGGTTACCCGAGTCCATACTGCCATATATTCCAGTTCAAAACAGATGTGAGATTTTATTCAACTGTGTGGAATGGGCCCATGTTTTGAAGCATAGCGAGGAGGTGAGTGTGACACCTCAGCCCTGCTTAGTACACACAACAAAACAAGGCCACAAGTCCATACTGCCATACAGGCCCGTAGCCAGGATTTTGTTTCGGGGGGAGGGGGGGGGGGGCGGAGGTTGTGGGGGGGGGGCTGAGTCTGAGTGAAAGAGGGTCTACCCTAGCAAACCTTTTGTATCGTTACCCCAATACCCCCATGCATATGGGATATATTGAGCATGGTGATCAGATCATGATATGAATAACATAACAGTTTAAATAATGTACCAGTAAGGCCTTCTTGCGGACCACCATGAGAATTTACAGCTACATGCCTGGTGCCATATATTCCAGTTCAAAACAGATGTGAGATTTTATTCAACTGTGTGGAGGGGGCACATGTTTTGAAGCATAGCGAGGAGATGAATGTGACTCCTCAGCCCTGGCTAGAACAAACAAAACAAGGCCACAAATCCAGCTTCAGTGAAATGCCATAGGCCTCTTCTTTGAGGGCCCTTCCACACTGCCATGCAACCCAGAATATAAGGCAGAAAATCCCCACAATGCCTGCTTTGAACTGGTTACCCGATTCCATACTGCCATATATTCCTGTTCAAAACAGATGTGAGATTTTGTTCAACTGTGTGGAAGGGGCCCATGTTTTGAAGCATAGCGAGGAGATGAATGTGACTCCTCAGGTTTGGCTAGAACAGATAACAAAACAAGGCCACAAATCTACCTTCAGTGAAATACTGTAGGCCTCTTGTCTGAGGGTCCTTCGACACAGCCATTTAAACCAGAAGGTCAAGGCAGATAATCCACTGCCTGCTGCCATATATTCCAGTTCAAAACAGATGTGAGATTTTATTCAACTGTGTGGAAGAGGCCCATGTTTTGAAGCATAGCGAGATGTGACTCCTCAGCCCTGGCTAGAACGGACAACAAAACAAGGCCACAAATCTACCTTCAGTGAAATGCAGCAGGCCTCTTGTTTGAGGGCCATGCAACCCAAAATATCAAGGCAGAAAATCACCACAATGCCTGCTTTGAACTGGGTTATCTTGAGTCCATACTGCCATATATTCCAGTTCAAAACTGAGATTTTATTCAACTGTGTGGAAGAGGCCCATGTTTTGAAGTATAGCGAGGAAATGAATGTGACACCCCAGCCCTGCTTAGTAGACAACAAAACAAGGCCACAAATCTACTTTCAGTGAAATACTGTAGGCCTCTTGTCTGAGGGCCCTTCCACATAGCCACTTCAACCAGAAGGTCAAGGCAGATAATCCACAGAATTTGCTTTGAACTGGGTTATATGGGGTCCCTTTCACACAAGCATGCAACCCAGAATATAAGGCAGAAAATCCCCACAATGCTTGCTTTCAACTGTGTTATCTTGAGTCCACACCGCCATATATTCCAGTTCAAAGCAGATAATGTGGGATTTTACTTAGCTGCGTGGAAGCGGCCCATGTTTTGAAGCATAGCGAGGAGATGAATGTGACACCTCAGCCCTGCTTAGTACAGACAACCAAAGAAGGCCACAAATCTACCTTCAGTGAAATGTGGTAGGCCTCTTGTTTGAGGGCCCTTCGACACAGCCATTTCAACCAGAAGGTCAAGGCAGATTATCCACAGAATCTGCTTTGGACTGGGTCATATGTTTTGAAGCATAGCGAGATGAATGTGACTCTTCAGCCCTGTCTAAAACAATCAAAACAAGGCCACAAATCTACCTTCAGTGAAATGAGGTAGGCCTCTTCTTTGAGGGCCATGCAACCCAGAATATAAGGCAGAAAATCCCCACAATGTCTTCTTTGAACTGGATTATCTCGAGTCCACACGGCCATATATTCCAGTTCAAAGCAGATAACGTGGGATTTTACTCCGCTGTGTGGCAGGGGCCTGAGTCCGCACTGTCATAGAATCCAGTTCAATGTGGACTGTATGAATGAGTGCCACTTCTCACCAGGAAGAGTCCCTCTGTGGCAGGCCTTGCGTCCACTTCCATGGCAGCCCCACAGACCTGAGCGGGCCTTCCACTCGCACCCAGGCGCCACTGAGCCTTGAGACGCAGACCTCGTGATAGCAAGCGCGCCCGTGCCTCCTCCGCCGGCACCATCTTAGAAGAGGCCTCGCCGGCCCAGGAGGGAGGAAGGAGGGAGGGAGCGGGAAGCGCCTCCTAAGATGGCTGCCGCGAGCGGGGCCTGGCCCGCTTGGCCCTCAGGTGGGAACTTCCGAGAGGCACTTCCCGGGGCCCTTTCCTCCTCCCCCGCCTTGCTTCGGACATTATTACCAAGCGGCGGAGAAAGCAGCGGCTGTTCGCTGGCCCTCAGCTCCGTGAAGAAGAAGAAGAAGACGCGCAGCCTCCTCGGATGCCGCCTCCCAAACTGCGCCACTCGCAGCGACTGAGCTACAAGAGCAGGCACCCAACTCCCGCCTCGTGGCGCTGGCCCGCCATTGGTCGCGCCGCCTGCCACTCTTCCCCTGCCCTCGTTTGTATTGGGCGCTGGCCAGCCCCGCCCCGCCCCTCTCTCTCGCGCTCGCGCTGTCTCTCTCTCTCTCTCTCTGGGCGCCGTGAGGTAAATAGAAGCAGGATCTCAAAATGGCGGAGCCGCCGCTGAGTCCCGTCCGAGGCGCGACGGTGGCGCCGCCGCTGCTGCTCCCGCTCCCTCCGCCGCAGGAGCCCTTCCCGTCCAACGCCAGGCCTCCCCCGCGGGGCTTCCAGCCGCCTTCCAAGCGCGCCAAAGCCGCCGAAGAGCGCGGCCTCAAAGGCCCCAAGCGTGTCAACGGCGAGGGCGGCGGCAGCAGCAGCAGCAGCAGCAATAGGAAGCCGCCGCCACAGCCCTCCTTGTGGAGCCTCGCCGCCTTTTCCTCCGGAGCCGCCGCCAGCAGCAGCAGTAGCAGCGGCTCATCCGGCGCGGGGTCCTTCTCTTTCCCGCCTCACTTGCCTCCCAAGTTGCTCCTGCCGCCGCCCTCGGCGCACCAGCACCATCAGCACCGCTTGGCCGTCGCCGTCGAAGGAGGCAAGACGAAGAGGCCCAAGGAGAAGCGGGACAAGGAGAAGCGGAAGGGCTGGGAGGAGAACGGCGAGGTCAAGGTGCTGCTCCCGCCGGCCCAGGCCCGGGCCCAGGCGCTCCAGCAGCAGCAGCCCCACCGCCATCACCGTCACCGCCGCCGCCAGGAAGGTGAGGCACCGGGTGGGGGGAGCGTTGAGGGTCGTGTCTGCCGCCCCCAAGGCCTCCTGCTGGCCTTTTGGGTGGGTGTGTGTGTGTATGTCAAGGGCAGGCGCCTCCAGCGGAATGGCTGCCTCGCTTGCCCGCCTGCCTGCCTTCCTCCACATGGAATAAACATGCTGCCTGCCAGGCCCCTAGCCAAGATTATGATTCGGGGGGTGCTGAGTTTGATTCGGGGGGGGGGGGGGGGTTTTGGTTCAAAAGGGGGGGGGGCTGAGGATCTACCCTAGCAAACCTTTTGTATCGTTATCCTAATAGCCCCATGCATATGGGCATTTTATTACCTGATAACAGGATAATCCTCTATATTTCCAGTCATATAAATAAGTATTATTGATTCCAGTGAGGCTTCACTGAAAGTGAGTCATAGGCAGAGGCGGCCCTAGGCAATTTTCAACGGTAAGCAAACAGTATTTTGGTGCCCCCCCCCCCCCCCCCAACCAATCATAGAATCAAAGAGTTGGAAGAGACCTCATGGGCCATCCAGTCCAACCCCCTGCCAAGAAGCAGGAATATTGCATTCAAATCACCCCTGACAGATGGCCATCCAGCCTCTGTTTAAAACAGTGGTTCTCAAGCTGGGGTCCCCAGCTGTTAGGATTTCTGGGAGTTGAATGCCAAAAACATCTGGGGACCCCAGGTTGAGAACTACTGGTTTAAAAGCTTCCTTGAGTCTTTAGACTTAGTATAAAAATGAAGGTTAAGTACAGTCATCTCTCCACCTCCACAAATTCTGCATCCATCGATTCAACCACACTTGAGAACATTTTTTAAAATTCCAAATGGAAACTTTGATTTTGCCATTTTATATAATGGGCACCATTTTACTATACCGTTGTTTATAATTTGAGCATCCACAGATTTTGGTATCCACAGGACCAAACCCCAGCAAACACTGAAGGACCACTGTAACTACAGCCCTCAGGCAAAACCTCTAAATAAGCTGTATTTATTTTAAATACATCAGAACAATTCATAGGATCATAGAGTTGGAAGAGACCTCCTGGGCCATCCAGTCCAACCCCTGCCAAGAAGCAGGAATATTGCATTCAAATCACCCCTGACAGATGGCCATCCAGCCTCTGTTTAAAAGCTTCCACAACACTCCGGGGCAGAGAGTTCCACTGCTGAACGGCTCTCACAGTCCAATGCCAAGAAGCAGGAATATTGCATTCAAATCCCCTGACAGATGGCCATCAGCCTCTATTTAAAAGCTTCCAAAGAAGGAGCCTCCACCACACTCCGGGGCAGAGAGTTCCACTGCTGAACGGCTCTCACAGTCAGGAAGTTTTCTTCATGTTCAGATGGAATCTCCTCTCTTGTAGTTTGAAGCCATTGTTCCGCGTCCTAGTCGCCAAGGAAGCAGAAAACAAGCTTGCTCCCTCCTCCCTGTGGCTTCCTCTCACATATTTATACATGGCTATCATATCTCCTCTCAGCCTTCTCTTCTTCAGGCTAAACATGCCCAGCTCCTTAAGCCGCTCCTCATAGGGCTTGTTCTCCAGACCCTTGATCATTTTAGTCGCCCTCCTCTGGACACATTCCAGCTTGTCAATATCTCTCTTGAATTGTGGTGCCCAGAATTGGACAAAATATTCCAGGTGTGGTCTAACCAAAGTGGAATAGAGCGGTAGCATGACTTCCCTAGATCTAGACACTATGCTCCTATTGATGCAGGCCAAAATCCCATTGGCTTTTTTTGCCGCCACATCACATTGTTGGCTCATGTTTAACTTGTTGTCCATGAGGACTCCAAGATCTTTTTCACACGTACTGCTCTCGAGCCAGGCATTGTCCCCCATTCTGTATCTTTGCATTTCGTTTTTCTGCCTAAGTGGAGTATCTTGCATTTGTCACTGTTGAACTTCATTTTGTTAGTTTTGGCCCATCTCTCTAATCTGTCAATATCGTTTTGAATCCTGCTCCTGTCCTCTGGAGTATTGGCTATCCCTCCCAATTTGGTGTCGTCTGCAAACTTGATGATCATGCCTTCTAGCCCTTCATCTAAGTCATTAATAAAGATGTTGAACAGGACCGGGCCCAGGACAGAACCCTGCGGCACTCCACTTGTCACTTCTTTCCAAGATGAAGAGGAAGCATTGGTGAGCACCCTCTGGGTTCGTCCATTTAACCAATTACAGATCCACCTCACCGTAGTTTTGCCTAGCCCACATTGGACTAGTTTCCTTGCCAGAAGGTCATGGGAAGGACCTTATCAGTCTGGTTGGAGTTCAGAAATACTCTTGATTGCAGCCGGGAACTCTACATCACCAGTAACTACAATAACACTTGTCAGGTCCTATTTTCCCAAACGAGCGCCCATGGGCAAACATAAACTATACTGCAAACTGATTAACTTTGCGTAAGTGATCTTAGTGTTGATGCCGCCCCCATATATTATTATACTAGCCTTCCCCTGCCACGCGTTGCTGTGGCCCACATGGGGATTCTGTGTAGGAGGTTTGGCCCAATTCTACGTTTGTGGGGTTCAGAATGCTCTTTGATTGTAGGTGAACTATAAATCCCAGCAACTACAACTCCCAAATGACAAAATCAATTTTTTTGAGTGAAGGACATACATTGGGTTGTTAGGTGTCTTGTGTCCAAATTTGGTGTCAATTCGTCCAGTGGTTTTTGAGTTCTGTTAATCCCACAAACGAACATTACATTTTTATTTATATAGAAGACTAGCCGTCCCCTGCCACGCGTTGCTGTGGCCCACATGGGGGTTCTGTGTGGGAGGTTTGGCCCAATTCTCTCGTTGGTGGCATTCAGAAGAAGACCGACAGGTCACAGGATGAGCTCCCTCTATCAGCTCCAGCTCCTCATGCGGGGACATGAGAGAAGCCTCCCACAAGGATGATAAAAACATCAAATCATCCAGGCGTCCCCTGGGCAACGTCTTGCAGACAGCCAATTCTCTCACACCAGAAGCGACTTGCAATTTCTCAAGTCGCTCCTGACACGACCAAAAAAAAAAGTGATGTGGGAGGTTTGGCCCAATTCTATTGTTGGTGGGGTTCAGAATGCTCTTTGACTGTAGGTGAACTATAAATTTCAGCAACTTCAACTCCCAAATGTCAATATTCTATTTTCACCAAACTCCAGCAGTGTTCACATTTGGGCATATTGAGTATTCTTGTAGAGTTTGGTCCAGATCCATCATTGTTTGAGTCCACAGTCATCTTTGGATGTGGGTGAACTACAACTCCAAAACCAAAGGACACTGCCCACCAAACCCTTCCAGTGTTTTCTGTTGGTCATGGGAGAACTGTGTGTCAAGTTTGGTTCAATTCCATAGTTGTTGGGGTTCAGAATGTTCTTTCATTGTAGGTGAACTATAAATCCCAGCAACTACAACTCCCAAATGATTTCCTCCCGGGGGGGGGGGGGGGATCTCTCAAAGTGCTGCTCTTTATTATTATTATCTATTATTATTATTATTATTTCGTACATTTCTACCCCGCCCTTCTCCCCATAAGGGCGGCCTCACATAAGCATCAAATGATGCTAACAACATATACACTATAAAATTACAATTAAAACAGTAAAATCTTTTTAAAAACATTATACAAAATCATCAATACATTCATTTAAGAATATATTAATGTGCCAGTAAAGCCAAAAACCAAGCCAGGAGAATCCAATGTCGTAAAAATTCCAAAATTCCTTTCCATATTGCCGCTATCCTCTAATCGAATGCCTGGTCGCAGAGCCAAGTCTCCAATTGTTTTCTAAAGGACAGGAGGGAGGTGGCCAACCTGATGCCCTTAGGGAGAAAGTTCCACAGACGGAGGCCACTGCCGAGAAGGCCCTGTCTCTTGTCCCCACCAACCGCATTTGCAAAAGTGGTGAGATCGAGAGCAGGGCCTCTCCTGATGATCTTAAGCTTCGTGATGGTTCATAGCAGGAGATACGTTCGGACAGGTAATCTGGGCCAGAACCGTTGGGGCCCTGCCCTTTAAGCACAGCAGTGGGATCATGAAATAAATATGTGGCCAAGGTTCTGAGCTCCCACCTTGGTATTTACACAAATCTCTTTCCCTGCCAACATGGCAGTGTTTACAGTGGACTCTGCAGAAAATTGCTTCAGGCAAATCACCCTGCTTCACAAGTCTTGCAAATGCTGACTTGTTGTCTGTAAATGCTTTGATTTCTATACCTGTTTCATGTGTCTATATATCTGGGGTCATACACACATTTCTTGGTCAGAAAAGGGGTCGCAAGTAGAAGTCCTGATCTAAACAGCTGCATCAGGAAAGGGTTGAATAATAATGATATTAATAATTTTATTTTTATATTCTGCCACCATCTCCCCAAGGGGACTTGGGGTGGCTTACATGGGGACCAAGCCCAGCATAAACAAAAACTGAAGGCTGTTCAGGGCCCTTCCAGACAGGCCCTATATCGCAGGATCTAATCCCAGGTTTTCTGCTTTGAACTGGATTACATCAATCAATCAATCAATCTTTATTTATATCTCATCCCATCTCCGTCATTAAAGCCCTATCCATAGACCTTTCATTACATGAGTCTGCACTGCCAGATAATCTGGCATGAACAGAAAACCTGGGATCTGTTCCCGGGATATAGAGCCTGTCTGGAAAGGCCCCCAGTGAGGATGATGTGTGATTTTCTTGTTTCGTAGGGTTTTTTTTAGAAGGTGGCTCTGGCAGGAGAGACGCAGGCTTCTCTACTCCTGTCAAAAAAGGGTGTGTGGAAAGGGCTCTTGCCTGAGGCCTTCCTTTGCTTTCCAGACCCATTAGGGAAACAACTTCCTTCTGCTAGGTGGCAAAGGCCTCAACTGGGTTCAGAAATGAAATATAATGCTTTCTAGTGTTATAATAGAAATCAAACTTTGGTAGCATGGAAGGATCGGTTTCTGGCAGCTTGTTAATCAGATTAACTTTGATAGATTTTGTTTAAGAGATCGGAAAGTGCTTTGGGAGATG